GCGCGCGCCCGACGCTGCCGCTGCGGCTCCTGCCGCTACCTCCTCAACCAACCCCCCTCCCCCGGACACTCGGCACCATCCCCACTCTCGCAGGTCCCGTTCCCGCCACAGACAGCACCGACACTCCCACTCCCACACCAGCCACCATCGCAGGCACAACAAGTCGCACCGACGACACGACACCCGACGATCCCGCAGCTACAGCAGGTCACGTTCCCTTTCCCGACACTTCCACCACTCCCGACGTGCACACCGCTCCACTGTCTCCCTCCGCTCCCGCTCCCCCCGACACAGGTCCCACCATCGACACTCCCCTGCACCCAGAGCCACGACTTCGCACCGACCCACTCACACTACTCATGATTCCACCTCCTGGCGCACTTCCGGGAAGGATTCCAACAAGTCTCAATGGTCCTCCTCACACTGGCGGACCCAATCGTGGGGATACCCACCACAGAACAAAAACCGCTGGGACATGCACCACCATGGCGCCAGCCACACCGGCCACCGAAACAACCAGGGCAAACGATCGTCCTGGTCACTGCAGCACCATGGGCAGCAACCCCACCCCACTTCCCGCACCGGCCACCACAACACTAGCGTGCCCCCTCACCCAGCACCTGCGGCGGCCTTCACTTCCACTCCCCCTCCCCCTCCCCGACCCACGCCGGCTACTCCTCACCCTCCCCAACCCCCCTTCGGCAACACCGGTGATTTGGATCCCCCTCCATCGGAGGCGGACATCAATGCCACCACCACTTCCGACAACCGGTGGCTTGATCTATGGAGAAACGTCATGGACACGGCCAAGACTGACCCGCTGCGAGTTCCCACGCCTAGGGAGTTGGGGGAGCTGGACCCGCTTCCAGCCTGGGACATCTCCAGGGTGGAACAGACTAAGGCCATTTTGATGGACCTGGACCCTGCTTTGCCACCTTCACATGCCGATCTCCTCGCGGAATGCTGGGAACTGCGAACCATGGACACGGATGATCCCATACCGTTCGATCCCAGCTTCTACCACCTCTTGGGACGGGAATCACACGGCTTGGTGTTCGCAACCACTTGGTTTCCCCGACCTCATCCTTGGCCAGTTGCTGGCGGAGACCCGGAAGCTGGATCCGGCACGGCCTCCCATCACGCTGTCATGTATGTGCACGGCACCACCCCGGATCGAGTGCGCCGCATGTGCCATGAGAACATGATCCGACCCGCTGCTTGGAGGCCCGAGAACCATGACTACCCGAGCTTTGGATGCTACGCTCGGGCCACCCCCACGGCATGCACGCCCGACACGCTCGGCCAGCTCTTGCAGAACTTTACAATCGGAAAGTCTCAACTCGGCGCCATCGCTTTTGGGGAACTACGCTCCATCAATCAGCACAAAATCCTCGAATCCGGGGGAAGCCACGAGGATCAACATAACGTGCGGCGCCACTTCGCATGCCGCCAAGGCAAAAAGTGGTGCCTTCACTCCAAGTTTGCGATGCTGAGAGGCATCGCGCTGCAGCGCCCGGCTTAGCGGGGCGCAAATGTACCATCTTCCACCCGACCAGGAAAAGAATTGGTGCACTGTTTGATCGCCTTTTTTTCTTTGCTTTGCTGTTCTGCCTTTCTGCGACCGTTCTCTCGCCTTGTGACCTTACCCGCTTGATTCCGCTCACCAGCTTTTGGTTCGAACATTTCCTTTTCCCCCGTGTGTTCTCATGGCTTTCCAACCCCCTCGAGGTTTGGTTACGGCGCTCCAAAGGCAAAACTTACCACCGCAGCCTTCGCCCACGGCATCCCATCATCATGGCATCATGTACGGCAACAACATGGCCGGGAACCCGTGCGGGGCCCTGTCCGGGCCTTCCTACGGATGCTCTTCCACGGCATCGGCACCGCCAGCTACACATCCGACTCCCTGTCAGACCTACGGCCAACCTATTCCCCGTTACCCCCCACACCCCGGCCCTCGTCCACCCTCCTTTGGCGGCTCTCTCCCCCCCCCTCCCGGCGGCAACCCCTTTCCCCCCCCTCCCCCCGGCCCCTTCACCCGCCCTCCACCTTTCCCCTCCCCCTCCACCGCCTCGCAAACCAAACCTCCCCCGGCCCTTCGACCCGTCCACTCAGTCCCAACACCAGCCGAGTTCAACCCTGGCGACGATCACTACGACACCACCCGCGTCGCGGGGTACGACCTGCCCAAGGTCATAACGCACACCGCGTTTACTCGGCAAATGGGCATCGAGGGACAAGACATCGCTCGCGTCCCCCTCCTCCACCTCATGCACGAACAGTGGAACAGTTGGTGGTTGCGTCACCTCGCCCACGGAGGCGAAGTCCGCATCGTTGTCGCAAAGTCGATGCCGGAATCAGTGTTTGCTGCTGGACTACTCAGCCAAATCCGACAACGGCACCTCGACCTGGACGCCCTCGCCCTCCATGTAGCCACGCAGGAGGGCGCCTCGACCACCAAGCCAGCAGCCATGAAGCTACTCACCAACAAGATCTTCGACTTCCTCATCTCCCTCCGACCCACCACTACGGCCGATCCGGCCTCCGCGGCCACCATACTCCAGCTTCAGCAACAGCTTGCTGACGCACACAACCAACTCGCCCAGCAGGCTTCATCCCCTCCCCCCCACACCCACCTCATCCAACAAACGCCCAGCCGATCCATCTCAGGCCTCCCTCCTGGACTTCGGCATGAAGCGACCACGGTTGACTACACCTGACACATCATTGCAGGACGGATCCCCCGCCCTACCCCTGCCCACTCGCATTGCAGACGACTCCCAACCCCCCCCGGCTCCCCCCACCCACGGCGGCAACCCTCCAGCCCCCTCCACCCACGGCGGCACCCCGACCCCTCCCCCCCTCCCCTCCCCACCCACTTGGAAGGAGCCCCGCGACTTGCTCCAACCACCTCCCCACGTTTGCCAATGGCTCACCAACAACTTCCCACCCGACATTTCCGACACCAAAGTCCAGCGATGGATCACCTCCCAGAAAACCAGCAAAGAGAGCAAGCAAGTCCTAAAAAGCTGGTCCAACGACTGCGCAAAATGGGCAACCACACTGGACTCCGACACCAGAGCCCAACTCGAACGAGCCGCTGTGCTATGGGGCATCCCGGTGCGAACCCTATCAAAACTGGGGTCATCGGCCTTGGGCCGCATCCTGGCCGCTGCGAGTCACTTCTACCAGTGACTCTCAACAGCACACCGACAACGACGCACAGCCAGGCAGCACAAATTTTGGCAACACCACTGCTGCCAATTTCTCACTGTCCTCCGTTTCACTCTTCGGTTCTTCCCAACCGATGACGTCACCGCACGTCATTTTTGCTCCTGGCTACTCGCACAGCTTCAGCTACTTGACGTCTGCCATCTCTCCTGTGGTTCCGGCAGACTGAAAGCCCTGCTTACTCGACTTGGCCTGGACAACCCTGCTTCCGATTTCTCTTCTCAGCTTGTCCCTTCAGCGGTTTATCTGAGATTCACCAGCCATCCAAAGTGGCAGACCTTTTTCTACCTCGGAGCCACTCGCACCTCCCTCATGGCACGGGACCACAGCCGACTTCGCAAACTACTCCAAGTTCAGCGACATCATCTGGTCAATGCCGAACTAGCAGTCCGGTGGTGGGCACATTTTGACATTTTCCACCACTACACCTCGGTGCCCATTCACACTGCCGTTCCAGCAACGGACCTATTTGCCACTGAACAGTTCTACATCCAGGAACTGCAACCGTCTCTCAATTTTGGCTTCATCGAGAGACATTTCCGGCCACGCACGGGCTTCATACGCCAATTGGACTTCTCCCAATCCCGGCACATGGGCTTCGCCACCATCTGGCGAAAACGCCGCCGACTACGACTACCCATCGCCCTACAACAGGCCTTCCTGGCCAAGCGCATGAACAACCGCCTGGATTTGTGGCGATTTTTGGGCGATCTTGGCAGCAACACTCTACGACGATTTGATGCCATCCGTTACATACGGAGCAGAGACTTCCCACCCGCCGCTCTCTATGTCCTTCATCGCATAGCCACGCACCTGCCTGAACCACACCACCAGGCATGCCTTTCCGCCATTCGATCCAGTTTACGATTCCGGGGCCTCATTCCACCTGGCCCCTCCAGACCGATGCTTGCACCATTCCTCGCCCATCCTTCTTTCCGATCCCTGCTTTTAACCCAACTTCGCGGGTTTATTCGATCTACCACTCGCAGCGCTTTACCGTTTCACATGGCACAACCACGCATTGTCTTCAAGGCACATCGGAGACTCTCCAGTGCCTTGTTCTCACATCTCCAGGCAGCAAAAACCTGGAGTCTCGGTGAAACAACCTGCACATGCACCGACCTCGCCCAACAACACCCATCCCTCCCGAAGCATGACGGACACCTTCTTTTCTCCGGTGCAGACACCCATGAGCTGTTCGACTCCGACACTGCCCACATGCTATCCGGATCGATGCGCAACTCCTTCTTTCCTCCACGAGGGGTCTTGATGAGTCGCCTGACCCAGGCATTTCAACACTGGGCCAGGACCAACAACCTACCCGCGCTCGACCCATCAACCCTCACTACTATTGTCGAATTCCATTTCGACCTCCACCTTTCACACACATCACAGTACTTTCTTCACGCCCACGTCCAACGGGCTCTGCATACCCTGGAACCCCTTGTCCGCCATTGCGAAGACCATGCGGACTCCCGACTCATGATCTATTGTCCCGTTCTCTACGGCAAGATGTTGGAAGCCACTTTTGCGGACCCTGCCATCTTCGCCCCTCTGCCGGTCCCTGCCATTGAGATCCACCAACGACTACGAGAAACCATTGTCACCAGATTCCGCGGCCGCTATCCTTGGGCCGTGACCGGATTCGGAAGGCCAGCCAACGCCTACATCCTCCCGAAGAGGAAGAAGAACTGGACCACTGCCCGACCCATCATCAGTTTCATTGGCGCCTTCTTCCGACCCATGCTCGACGCTCTCGCCAAGCTCCTCCACAGCATGGTGGCCACGGCTTGCCCTGACGCGTTTTCAGGTGGCGACCTCTTTGAACTCATGCGGTCCTTGCACGAGTTTCTAAGCCTCGGCCACACCCATTTGGACTACCGAAACCAGGACCTTTCCGGTTTTTTCACCTCCATCGACAAAGACCGCTTCTTAGCAGCCTGGCGACTACTGCTAACCTGGTACCGACAACGACAACCACACTCCTCTACCACACACCTCACAGTGGACACACTTGACACCTCTGCCATCACCCGCGTCTACAACGGACGCCGTCGCCGACACAAACCCACACAACGCACCCTGTGGCTCGACGACATCCCCGAGATCATTCAGGCCACCCTTGACATGCAGATCTTCTCTGTCGGCCTTCGTTCATTCAGGCAAACACGTGGGGCACCGATGGGATCCCCCGCGTCCCCAGCTCTCTGTTTGATGGTGATCGCGGTCGCCGAACAATGTTGGACCAACACTCACACCACATCGGGACTTCGCTCCGTTGAAGATACTCTCCTGCTCCGCTACGTGGACAACAGACTCGTGATCGCAACCCCCAGGTGGCTCTCGACTCCGGCAGCCAACATACTGTGCGACGAACACTTCTATGGAGGAGACATCTTCCTGGAAACAGAAGCCGCCCTGGACTTCTTGGGGTTCCGACTGAACCTCACAAGCAGCACCATCTCCTTCATTCCCTCGCATGAGAAGCACAACATGCTCTCCGTCAAGTCAGCCGCACCAATGATACATAAGGAATCTGGATATTATTCCAGACGCACGCTGATCAGCCGAGTTTCCTTTCCTGAATTTCAGCGAGATCAGGATCTTGCAATGTTGAAGAGGTTGTACCTCCAACACGGTTTCACCTTACAAAGAGAAGAAAAACCGTCCTTTGCGAAACCACACTGGTTTTCTTCTCTGCCTTTGCATCCTGACAGATTTGACCTGATTTTCGTGCCGCAGCTGTTTGACTGTTTGACCAAAATCCGTTGCGAGCATGGATACCAACACAGCACGCCAGCTGCTCCAAGACTTCGAACTCATCCTTGGCATTGCCCAACAAGGCATCGCCACCATCCGCGAGTTCACTGAGAGTCCGACTGCCGAACCTGATTTGGCACCGGAGGCCACGCTCAACCCCGCCATTGAGGACCTGACCAACTCACCACCAACACCCCTCCTGGCCCCCCTCGAGGACCTCTTTGAGCCACCTCCTGATGCTCCAGATGAACACCTTCCCACTGATCATGACGAACAATTCCCTGATCATTGGGCTCCGCCCACCCCTCCTCCGTCTTCTCCCGGCGAAAAACGAGCTCGCCGCGCACGTGATTTGGCCTCCTCACGATCTACGGCATCCAAAACCTGCTCGTGGACCAAGCGAAGCTACCACATCGACCAGGACTGATGCCTCTACTGAGGCCGAACCTGAAGCCTCGCAGCCTTGGACTGAGGGAGAGATTGAACTCCTCCGTTCCCTTAAGACCAATTCCAAAGCCAAGTATGCGTGGTCAGTCATCGCCACAAGACTTTCTCGCACAATTGATGCTTGCAAGACTCAATGGGCCTCGCACAAGTGATGTCGCCCCAGTTGGGGCTCCGTGTGTGTGAAGCGTCCTGGAGCACGGACGGAAATTCCACATTGCAGGGGGACTGGAGCCGATTTGCCTATCCAGTCCAATGAAGCTACGGCATTTCGGTGGATACCGGATCTGATCAATCCGGCGTACCTGCCTATTTCCTGACCCTCTTTCCTGATTCCTTTTGCGGTTTCTGTTTGTCGCTGTTGCTTCCTGTTCGGTGTCGATGTTGTGACCTGTTGATTTGCGTTTGCATTCAAGCATTTTTACTGACTGCGTTTTTCATCTCGGCTAGTGAAGCCTCTCGAGATAAGTGTGTGTGTGTGTGTGTGTGTGTGTGTGTGTGTTTGCGTTTGTGTGTGTGTGTTTGTGTGTGTAGATTCCCGGAGATCCTGAACATACACAAAACACACATGCGAGGCCCATGCTTGCAGTCAACTCCATCAGCAATTTGTCATGAAGGAATGGCAGTGATGGTTGACTCCGACATCCGAATCAAAGCCAGATTGGATGTCAGTGATGCTGCCAGCACGTGGAAGCTGCCAGCATGTTCAGCACATGGTTGGCACAAGAAATCGGTGTCGAAGCTGCATGCGGCGTCCTGAGGCTGGTAGCTTTCTGGCCGGCAGGCAACCACCTCGGCTCAACTCTCTAGACGTTTGAGTCGCAAGCAGCTCTCTCGAGCGGCAAGGGGTATCGCCACAACTCACAACAGTGTGTTTCCACTGAAATCGCAACTTTCCGCGCCTGGGGGCCGGGCAGTTAAAAGCTTTGCTGCCAGCTCTGAGCCATTTTCACACTCTGTCTGACTGTACCTGCAACTCTGTCATCCAATCACATGCTTAACTCAGCTGTGATATTGCTCCTGCCAGAGCCTCAATTGTGTCAGCAACCTGAGAACACTCCCACACTCATGTGGGTGTGTCTTTTTTGAGGGTACCTGCTCGTTGTGGTTTTGAAGAGAAGCTAAAAGAACAACCCATCATTTTGGGGAGGGTTCCCCCCCATTTTAAGACAAACCCATGTCCTTCATGCCTCATCTGATGCACATGTTTCGCCAGTGGTACCCTGCTTCAGAAAACCCAGATCCGCGATGCCACCTGCCCAGGAGAGAAGTCCTGTGCCCTGGCAACGAGTGCCTTGCCCTTTTGGTTGGAATTTGAGAAGCCAAAAGAAAACCGTCGCCATTTCGGACGGGTCCCTCAACTTCTCAATTTTCAGCAACCATATTCACATTGCAAGCCGGAATCCTCATGAAACCCGAAGGCTGGCCTTGAGCTGGTGTGCATCGGATACAGTACTTCCCTTGTTGAAGGGTCTCATTGAGTCGTTGAAAGGGAGTTATATATATCTTGTTTCCACATGTTGCATCTGGCCTGCTTCAAAGCTCTTGTTTCACGGGGGGTGGGCGGGGCGGGGCGGGGCGGGGCGCGGCGGGGCGTTTGTTAGCTTGGCTTGCTCGGTGGTTTCAGAAAAGACAAACAATAATTTCAATGGGCAGTTCCCTTTGTGATCCTGCGTCAAAGAAGGTCGTCTCCCAGCCGAAAACTGTTTGATGGCTTCTCCTCCTCTCTGGCGACCCAATCCTGCGTTCGAGAGACACAGACGGTCGCCTCCGGATCACCACGTTCACGGCATTGGTAAAAAGATTTGGATGCGAGATACCTCAGCCATTAGGAAGCTCCGGCACAGTTCAGTGTCGCGGTCCACCAAACTCCGCAAGGAGAACTAGAATGCCGACTGGTCAAGAAAATGCTGACCCCCCCCCCCCACGTGGATGTTTTTGAGCTACAACTGGCTGCAAAAAACAACTGAGATTCAGGGGAAATTCGCTGCAGCTTCGTAATTGCGTGATATTCTTCACATCGGACACGAAAGGGCTGTATTAAAAGTCTAGCCAGAACCATGTAAAGAGTCACCAAGGCGGGCGCACCTAGTTATGGTAGGGATTATCCGGGTTTCGGTCCACGCCACTGGGCTGCCAGCCGACTCTTGCAAATGCTTCAAGCGAAGTCGCCAGCTCCTGCAAGGCTATGTCAACCCAGGATTAAAACACCCGTTTTTGTAAAACAAATTGGGGGTGTCCCTGGTTTTAGTGGGGGCTCATCACGTTTGGAGGGGAACACAACCAGAATAGTCCGGGGTCAAACTCACGGCACCTCTGTCAATGCCTCGTGCTCACAAGCCTTGCTCTCAACTTTTCAGCATGTTCCAGATCCCCTGCTAGAAGTCTAACTTTTAGTGATTTAGTGGAAACTACTACTAAAACCTAAAAACCTAAAAACCTAAGGGGATAGCTGGGAACCACCAAGGCTTTTCGGATCCCTTCTTGCTTCAGACTAACCGTCCTGAGGCTTGAATCGGCACTGCCACACCAACTCGAATGCTGACCAGCCAAGGGCCTGCGACACGGGAGTCCAGGCCAAGCCACGAGGGCAGAGGGGCGTCCGCAATTCAAAGTTATGCGAAAGACTATGCTGCCAACATCTACTGCTTATGGGGGGGGGGTGTCTTTTTTTTGTGGGTACCCTTGTTTAAAGGTTAAGGGAAGCCAAAAGGAAGATCACTATTTTGGGGGGTCACCTAAAAAAACACACCCATATTGGCACTCATGTCCATCCAAATTGGAAAAGCCGGCGCCTTTTGTTTGCTCCTTCCGCCCCTTTTTCGCCGTCACATCCCGCGCCTTGAACAGCTCTTCGTGTGGAATGTTCTGCTTGCCATAGGCCCAGAGTGTATTGCTGATCTCCTGGCGATGTGAAATTTCTGCAACAAGAGTTGCTCACTCTTGGGATGAATGCGTCTAGAGGCCAAACTTATCTTTTGGTCAAGGGGTGCAATGACTCAACTTGGACCGCCATGAGGATTGAAGAAACGGGGCTAGTGCATGGCTGGTGTTCACTGCTTGCGTTCTTGCATGAGATGGTTTGTCCCGAGCCGATCCCTGCCACGAGATGCACGAACCTGCGCTCCACTCATGGAGTGTGTCACAACTGAGCCCTTTGGATGGTATGCACGTTCTCCAGTCTGACGGCGCCTGTTCTGAACGAAGTCGTGAAAAGTCACTAGTGTACGCAACCCTTGTGACTT